ATGAGCCAACCAATGATTACCTTGGGAATTCATTTAACTTTATGTTCTTGCTTGGCCAGAGGAAGAAAAAAAGAGGTGCCAAAAATAACAAATGCCAATTTATTAAGAAAATATTGAGGTCATGGAGTCAAAAGGACTTCTGTTGTTGATAACGAGATTGTGACATAAGCAGAAGCATCACATTCAAAAGTGTAATTGTAAGAGCAACCTCATTGTGTAACTGCAAGTGAACAGTCATCCATTTTGAGTTTTTTCTATCCCCTTGCTTCATCTCTGGCTACAGACAATAGGTTACAGCCTTTTTTTGTTTGTAAGAGTTTCAAGAGAAAAGAAGAGTAAGCTGTGAGCCAGTTCACTGGTTTCAGACATATTTTTGAACTAATTCCTTCCTCAGCTAACGTCTTCATCTTAACCCAATGACAAACAGCAACAATGATGAAAGCCTCCATCTTTCTGCTCTGGGTACCAGATCTACTCTGACAACTCTTGAATTGCTAAGTACCCATTTTTAAAAAATTCTTGTTCATTTTATTAAGTATTCTTTATATTATGTATCTTTAACATACTTTAACGTATTACAGATTCTAAGATGCTTTGATGTTGGTGCTGTTTTCAGTCATACCAGAAGGTAACCATTCATTAATGGTTACAAGCTATTATATTACAACTATGACTCTAAGATACCATGGTGTAAGATGTATCCTGACAGCAGAAAGACATAAATTTTCAATAAATTGTAACTTAGAATAAAAGAAACTGGCATTTCATTCCTTATTTACATTACATTTTTACTGCAGTACAAAAGATAAAAATGTAATTTGTATATAGTACTGTATAACTGTCTTGCAAACCGAATGGGAACACATCTACTGATGCATTTCTGTTAAAATAATTCGGCAACTTGTTTTTTAAATGCTTTATATTATGCAAAAATACTTGGGTGAATAGTCAGATAGGTATTGAGCTTTTTAGCAACATCTGGGAAATTGTTCTGGGTGGGCTGGAAATTCATTATTTTTTTTTCCTATATGAAATAACGAAATATACAGTACCACTTTCCCCAAAATCACCACACAACACACAAAGGAAAGATGCACCCGTATATACTGAAACACACACATATAACAAAACTATAAAAATAAAAAGAATGAAACACAAAATTCAAGCTAGTGATTACTTCTGGGAAGGAGGCAAGGGAAGAACGGTGGCACATGGAAACTTCCCCATTAAGTACAATATGCAAGCTGCAGAAAAATGCATATTTGTTAAAAACAAAGACAACAATTTACATTTGCACCAATACAGTCACTTAAAAAGATCTGAAAAGATAGACACACTAAACAGTTACGGTAAACTTTCACATTCTATTTTATATTTCTTTTATTCTTCAAAGCTTTTGCAATGCACCTCTATAACTTCTGTGATTTAAAAAATTAATAAAAAGGAAATAAAGTATTTAATGGCAGGGGAAGGAGGAGGAAACGGCAATACAATCACTGCCATAGTAATGTGACATGTTATATTCCATAAAGTTAATGCAGCATTTTAGACTGTGAGGTATTTCTTCAGGAACATATGGACTGGGATGCATTAGATCCACATAGATAACACTGAACTAACCAACACGACATGATCAATGACCTCATATTATAAAAAGTTCCATTTGGAATAACATCTAAAAATCCTGGAAGTATCAGTAGTATGTTACCCAGCACACTCTACACTTGTTCCTTTCACTAATTTCCTTATTTTAATTTTATTGAAACAACATGCATTAAACACCTATTATACACCCAAAATCATGGTAGGTATTGGCAGTACCAAAATAAAAAAGACATGGCTCCAGTTTTCAAGAAGCTTATAACCTACAGTAACACTGCAATGACAGGAAGTTCTACATCTGCATTGTCTGATATGGTAGCCATTAACAGCAGGCAGCTGTTAGGCATGTGAAATATGGCTAACGCAACTGAGAAACTAAGTTTTTAAATTTTAAGTTATATGAATTTAAATTTAAATAGCCACCATGGCTAGTGCATACAGTATTCGACAGCACAGGTCTACAGAAAGACAAGGACAAATAAACAGGTAACTATAATGTATTATAATCAGCACTGAACTAGAAGTAGTACAAAGGCTATGAGAGCAAGGAAAAGGAGCACTGAGCTCATCAGAGAAGGATTTCTGGGAGTACTGATACCTAATTCTTGAATCATGTAAACAAAGGTGAGGCATTACATGAAAAGGAACTAAAACAAATAAAGGCTTAAAAGTTAAAAGTGTATGGGAGGGAGATTAAAATCAGCTTTATATTCCTAATTGAAAAAAATTCATACTAGAGAGTCAGAGGAGAGACACTGGAACTTGTGGAAATACTGTATAGTGTTTAAGAGCTTGATTTTATTATATAAAAGAGGTAAAGCCACTGATGAGTTAATTTAGTAATTAACGTACTTAACATGGTTAGATTTGTACATACTTATAGCTGAAGTAAATCAGTGTAAATTAAAGGAAGATAAGAAAATACTAGCAAAAAACATTCCCTGGAAAAAGCTTGACAATCCTTCCAAAAAAAGAATGAGCTATGAATCACTTAAATAATTAAATTCTCAGCTGATCTAATACAGCAGTCTAAGCAAATAAAACTCAACTACTCTATTCAAACTCCAAAAACTTAACTGGGCCTAAATTTATAGAAAAAAATGAAACAAAGTAAATACCAGTATAAAAATCAATACTTCCACCAACACCCATTTGAAAGTCAGAAATTCTTAGCACAAAGGTGAGGGAATGTATATTCTTAAACTAAGTTCCTAAGGCTTCAATCAGGTCTATAAGGAAATGAGAATTAGAGAAATATTATCCTTCTTGTTAAACTCTGGAATATTAGCCTATTTATTACTAGGATGTTTAAATATCACTATAAGACATCAAGTACCCTTCAAAAACATAAGCCCTCAAAGATAAATTGAGTGCAAACATCGGTACAAAGAAATCCTACTTTACCCATGAAAAACAACAAAATTCCTCAAAATGGAATTTTTAAAAATCCAAATCCTTTCATCTCAGCATATACAAACTTTTAGTGCTACCCATGAACATACAAGTGATTTATTTAATATTCCTTTGAATTTCCCATATGCTTTTAATATATGCATCAACATCAGATGGGAAATTTTATTTCGATACATGTACTTTTCAGGAGATGTTTCAAAAAATAATTTTACAATGGAAATTTAAACAGTTGTTTCCAAGGATATTTCAACATGCATTAAGTGTCACTAAGTAACAACAAAAGAAAAAGGGGAAAATATTTTCAGCCAGAAAAACACTAACCAAGAATTTTTTCAGGTAAGTTAAAGAACCTGGATTAGTTATAAATAATGTAACTGGAACAATAGAGTATTTTTAGAGTAGAATGAGTAGGAATTAGGAAATCTCTTCATGTGTAAAATACAATTTCATTTTATTCTTTTCTTAAATGTAAATTTTGGAATTCTGTATTAAGATGATTCCATGAAGTAAATTAACCTTACTGTGTAATCATACAAAAAGTTCTATACTTACACTTTACAAACTTGATTATGAGTACTGAAAAGCCACATAGCCTAGAATCACAATATTCTTAAAATAAATTAAATACTATTTAAATAATTTTTAAAACCTATCAAAAGATGCAACAGCCCAAGCAGTGTGACCAATTAAAATCTTATGAGACAAGGTAGTTGGAAGTGGTTGTGAGGAAGGAAGAGCTATAGCAAGTATGAAAATTTAGCAAAGGCCATGTTGGTCAAGTCTATGAGAACTCTGAATAGAAAAGATTACAGGGAGAACTGATTCTGCATAGGCACAGCTGTGGCTTATTAAAATCATAACACTCTGGCAAGAAACTTCAGACATGAAGTTAAGTGAAAGGAAGGATAATTTGACACTTTTTATTAGGCACAGTGCCCAAACCAGAACCTAAACCTTATAATCAAAGGCTCTTTGCTATCAACACTATGAAAACCCATTCACAATTTTTTCCACTATTTACCTTTCCAATTTGAGGGAAGAAAAGATTAACCGGACTAAAACAAATAATTAGCAGATAAACGGTTAGGAATCAAAGCTGTTATCACACTAGTTGCCTTCAATAGTCTAGAGGGAATGAACCTAGTAGGTGAAAGGGTCTGAGGGAAGTTGAGTAGGTATCCGTGCAGAAAGCCTAAAGCTTATTCTTACTTGAGCTTTGAACTATTCTGTACTCTGAATCGCTGTGTAATTTGGTAATAAGTATTATCAAATAAAGGAAATTCTCTCTGAAAAAATTAAATTTAAAAAATGTTTTTTAAATCACTGCTTCATACCACTATCTTTCACCTTCTTTTAAAACCTAAGAAAGAAAGAGTATTACACTTCAACCATCCTTTCAGCATCCTTACATGCTACATAGGGAATGGATATTATTAACCAACTTAATAAATGACAAAACAAGAATCTAGCATTATAAGGACAGCAAGCTAATGAGAAATTCAATAGAATTGGGGTCTCTCAGCACCCTGGGATTTGCACTTCTATTTCTTTTATATTCTAACCAATTGTATCTACATTTCTGTGATGCTCTATTACCCTGAATATAGCCTAAGAGTTCAGGTTTAGTCTTCCAGGAATAATTCATATAAAAGTAATCAGCACTTTGTTTTACCGTATACTAGCTCGGAACCCAGCATGGAGTCATAAATTGTGTATCAGATAATCTAAGTTTTGACATATACATGAAGCACCAGAAAAATGTCTGACATTAAAAGAATATACATTTATCATAGCATGATTTATTTTGAAAAATGTTCCCAACTATTTCAACTGTCAAAGCGAACCCGTGTATTTTAAATTATAAGCCAAATTTTTCAAATTGAAGTGTATCTAATCTGCTGGTGTCAGTCAAATATAACACATTAAACAGTTCAATGCAGCTATATGAACAACAGAGAAAAAGGAAAAAAAAAAACTGATCTTACCTGGTAGTTTCTTTTCTCAGATAATGTATGTCCATCAGTCCTCACCATAGAGTCGTGTCCTTTCCTCACAGTACTGGAGGCAATCAAATAGAACTGTCACTCAAGGGTCGTGTCACAGGAAGGACCGCCCACCAGTTCTCCCTCTAGAGTGGAATTATCCAAAAGCCGTCAAAATTACTAACATGTAAATATATGAACAGTAGCAAAAATATCCAATATGATACATAGAAAACAAAAACAAAAAGGACTTTTTTTATATCATAACTGATCTTCCTCTTAACCACCTAGGGAGGGCTAGAGTGGCAGATACTTTGAGAAATTATTAAATATAAAAAACTCTTCCCTCCCACTTCTACTCTCCCCCATTAAAACTGTTCACCAGACCTCACACACTAGGAAGACACTTTATGGTGAATAAAAAAATGGACAGAAAAATTCAGCCCTCAACGGACATATTTTTTCTTTTAAATATTCTCCTCTTAGTCTCAGAAATATCCAATTAATTTAGATTCAGTCATGTAATTTCAAATCATTCTCCTCCAAGTGCTTGTTTATACAGCTGTTATTCATTCAGTTTATGAGGTTTATTCCTATGCCATAAGACTGGAATACATCATATATTCTCAGATGATAAGTAGATGTGAACTTAATTCAATTTTCTATTAAAATTTACTCCAAGGAAGAGGAGCAACACATGCCAACTTTCTGGATGCCTTTGTCCTTCAATCTGCCAATTTTGTACATGCTCTAATAGAATTTATTTTTTCACATTAAAGCAGAAAAATAATGGAGCTCATTTCTTAACCGGGACAGATAAATAAATCCAAAATGATGAGGCACTGTGCACTTCAGGTACCAAAAAAAAAAAAAAAAAACATTGAAGCAGAGGTGATAGTCCCTAGAGATGCTAATTCAAATATAAATTGAAAATGAAAGAGCAAAAATTAAAAAATGGTATCTACAAAGAATTTGTAAACATTCTTTTCAAGACCAATACCCCTCATCTAAATTTTAGTAAAATGTTTACCCTAGTGAAGTAGTAAGTATACCTATTAAACTAATAATAGTTGCTAATCACTAGAAATTATATTCAAATTTAGAGCAATTATTTAACATCATGCGAAATTTACTCTGGGAGAGGATAATAAAAACATCTAATTTAAATTCATAATAAGTATGAATCAATTTTATTAAAACCAACCACACACACACATACACATGGATTACCTCTAAATGTTTTCAAGGAAAATAAATCATTGAAAATTATTATTATTACATTTAAATTTTAAAAAGAATCCACATAATGAAAACCTACACTGAAAACCTATATTCCATCTCTGGTTTTATATTTGATCACAAACACAAATTTAGTGGGTGCTATATTTTTACTTAATTTTGACCATCTTACATTGTATGTTTGGCTGAAATACTTTAAGATGCCTGGCTCTAAGCCAAAAATGTTAATTATTCATTACCAATTTATATGTACCACTGATATTAAGTATGTCTCTCTCAAAAATAATAGAGAAAGACTTTTTAAATCATAAGTATATTTACTGCCATAAATGTAAGCTTTATCATCTCTCAAGGAATTAGGTTATTCATAAAATAAAATTATCAAGTGAATTGATGTCCAAGAATAGTTAAGTGACACACATTCAGCTCCAACTTAAATTTTAATGACTGTTACAAAATGAGAGCAAAACTATTTTATTATGCATCCCATAAAAAACATTAGCCCCATTTTAATGTTAGTGTTTTATAAAATTAATAATTTAAAACACGACTTGCCTTAACTATTAATCTACTCATGGAAACTCTGAATTCAGTGGATAATAATGTAAAGTTTCGGTTTTTTCTTACAGGGTAAAATATTTCCCTTATTAAATTAGTTATGTTTAAATTAAAGTGCATGCTTTACCTTCACATTATGCTAGTCTCATCAAAAGATGTTAGAAATCTAAAATCAGGCAAGGCAATTTTCAATGTAATTTAATGTATGTTAGCATAACCTAACTATATAGGTTATAAAAAGACAATTAGGACTTTATATGCTAAATAATACCTTAATTAAAAATAAGTTGTTATTTAATCTGTAAGCTTACCAGCTAAACGAAAAGTATTAACTTTGGAACACTATGAATTTTAGTACAAAGGAAAAACTTGTTTTTGTTCATTTGTTTCTCCCTCTTGGAGTAACTTCCAGTATTTCATGGCTTAGGGTTTCAGTCGGCAGCCACTATATGCTCTAAGGATTATATGAATCAATATTCTATATTGATCAATAACTCATCATCTCCTTTTGATAAACAAAGGGAAAAATGAACGAAGGTACTCTGTTTTCTTCTAGGTAACATAAAGAGCTAACATTTGTCACCATTATCTTGTATTAAATAAAAATGCTCAGTAATAGATTGCATTGATACTCACTAGGAATAAAAGGATGCACAAGAGATGAAAGAGAATGTTAAGTATATATGTAAGAGTATGTGAAAAGTAGCAAGTATGAGAAAACATGCCCTCTAGCTGCCTACATTCACTGAACTTTATACACTGGTTTTCCTACAAAGTCCTAAACATTCAAAAGTCAGAAAAGACAAGTATTTATAAAACTACAGTGAAATTTTCTATAAGGCAGGACGCCTTCCAAGATGGAAAAACAGAGACTGTATGTATCCTCCTGCGTTAAATAACTAGAAAATTAAATAAAATACATAAAACAATGATTTTCAGACAACGGACATCATCTCAGGATCTGTGTCCTGAGACAGAACAGAAAAAAGAACAAATGAAGTAATAACCCCTACTGCTTGTGGAAGTATGAGGCTAAAACATAGGAGGGGGAAGGCAGAACCCAATCAAAGCCTAATGGTTTCACTGAGTTAAAGGAAAAGAATCCAGAGCTAAGGGAGACACCAAGACAGCCAGAATTTGCAGGGCAAATGAAGAGAAGCAAGCTGCAGAGAAAGAGCTTCAAAGATCCGAAGACAATCAGATTGCCCTCAAGGTTTTAGTTGAGTAATTACCTGCGTACACATGTGAAAAAACTTGAATCTGGAGGAAAAGCCTCTGGAAAGTAGTCAGACGAATCCTCAGAACTCATGTTCCCATCAACTGGAGAAAGACAGTTTTAGGACATGAAGCACTGAATAGAGTTCAGAAGCTGATAAATCCATGAACAATGAAACCGAATAAGCTTTAGACTAAGGATGCTCTGGACCAGCAGTAACAAAGTTAAAACAAGCCTCAAGAGGATGAAACTACTCTCTTTTTTTTTTTTAAAGATTTTATTTATCTGAGATAGAGTGAGAGATAGAGTGAGAGAGTGAGCACAAGCGGGGGGGGAGGGGCAGAAAAAGAGGGAGAAGCAGACTCCCTGCTGAGCAGAGAGCCTGATGCAGGACTCCATCCCAGGACCCTGGGATCATGACCTGAGCTGAAAGCAGACACTTAACTGAGCCACCCAGGTGCCCTGGATGAAGCAAGTTCTAAGTGCCATAACTGTAACCCAAAACAAACGCCAACAATATTTAAAAATAATGCAACACCCTCCCAGCATTAAACAATATAAAATTAAATGTCTGGCATCCAATCAAAAATTACTAGTCATGATAGAAGCAGGAAATACACCCCCAAACAAAGTGAATTATAGTAAGTGGAAAGACCAGCAATGATACAGGCGATAGAATTAGTAGACAAGGAGATTAAAACAGATACTGTAAATATATCCCATACATTCAAGAAGATAAAGAAAACTATGAATATGGTAACAGAAATGCAAGGGCATGGAAAAGACCTAAGTTAGCAACACAGAGGAATTTATGGTGACAGAAAAGTTCTGTATCTTGCTTGTGGTGGTGGTTATAGGACTCTACATGTTTGCTAAAATACCACCAGAATGATAGGGACACACCAAAAAAAGTAAGAGCTTGCAAAAACTGGTGAAATCTAAGTTTGACTTGTAATCTAGTTATACTGTGTCAATTTCTGGTTTCGATAATGCACTACATAGTTATGTAAGATGACATCATTGGAGGAAGATAGGTGATGGGCATATGGAACTTCTCTGTGCTATTTTTGCATCTTCTTATGAGTTTATAATTACTTGAAAGTTAAAAAGATTTTTTTAAAAGGCTCAAACTGATCTTCTAGAAATAAAAATTCAATATCTGTAATTAAACATGCACTGGATAAGATTAACAGCAGTCTTTTCTAAACTTTAATGAACTGAAGACACAGCTAGCAATCAAAAAAAAAATCCAAAATTAAACACAGTGAGAATAAAAGGAACTGTGGGATAATGAAATATGGGACAACAGCAAGTGAGACAGTGAACTACTGGGCAATATTAAGCAGCCTAATATTAATGTAACTAGTGCCCCAGAAAGAGTGAAAGAGCAGGAAGGATAGAAAACAATGGCCACATTTTTCCTAAATCTGATGAAAACTATACTCATAAAGAACTTCAACAACCTCCAGAGAGAACACCAAAAACCCTCATAATTTTAAAGTCAAGTTGCTGAAAAACAGCTAAAGAGAAGTCTTAAAGCAGAGAGAAGAGAGAAAGTATATACATAGAGAAAAACAACAACACAGGCATGACAGCAGACTTCTCATCAGAAACAATGCAAAGCAGGGGAGAGTGGATCAACATTTTTAAACTACAGAAAGAAAAATATCTATCAACTAAGAATTCTAAATCCAGGGGTGTCTGGGTGGCTCAGTTGGTTAAGCATCTGCCTTCAGCCTTCATCTGCCTTAACCGTCCTGGGATCCCAGGGTCCTGGGATCAAGCCGCGAGTCGGGATCCCTGCTCAGCAGGAAATCTGCTTCTCCCCCTGGCTTGTGCTCTCTCGCTCTCTCTCAAATAAACAAACTCTTAAAAAAAAAAAAAAAAGAATTCTAAATCCAGCTAAAATACTTTAAAAAATGAAGACAAATACAGCCACCTTGGAAGAGTCTGGCAGTTTCTTATAAAGTTAAACATAAGACTGACCACACAACCCAGCAACTGTGCCCCTGGATATTTACCAAACTGAACTAAAAACTTAACGTTCATATGAAAACCTGTTCATGAATGTTTGTACCAACGAAGATGTCCTTTCAACAGATGAATGAACAAAATGGTATATCTATACAATAA